AACTTCTGGTGCAACATATGGTAGTACTCCACATATATCATTTTTGTTTGATAATGATATTTGACTAGCTGAGCATGATAATCCTAAGTCTGCAATATATGAGCTTGTTTTTTTTTGAAGGATATTACCACTATGAAGATCATGATGAATAATTTCTTTTTCATGAATATTTTTTAAATCTTCAATAATACAATAAAGAATACGAATTTTGTCTCTCCAATTTAAAATTTTAAAATCTTTAGTTAAATAACTTTGAAGACTTCCATCTTCCATATATGCCATTACAAATATATATTCTTTTGTAATCGGATCTTGTGTTAAACCACAAATAGGAATTACACTCTTTTTATCATAAAACTTTACATAATTTTTGAACTAAATAAAAAATGAAATATTTAATTACAACAATTATAATCAATAATATTTAAAAAACCTGAAATAAATAGAAAAATAAAAAAATTTACCTCATTAAGAAATTCATCAGAAATATTCTGTGAATTATGTAGTTTTTTTAGTGCTACAAGCATATCTTTGCTAGCTCTGGTATATTTTCCATTTACATAATTTATATATCTATAACCATTTATCCAAGTAGCTTTGGATATAGTTGCAAAACCACCTTCACCTATCTTTTCAATATTTGTTAAACCATTATAAGGGATCCATTGAAGATGCTTATCATTATCATACTTGGTTGCTTTAAGTTGTGTGCTCAACTATGTTTGTGTTTATGCTGATATGTAACACCCAATGTGCCATATATAAATTATTAATATAATAATAACAGATTAACTAAGCCAAATGGCGTATTCGTTATTATTATTATATACATTGCACAAGGCAAAAGAACCCTTCGAGTCCATGACTCCTCCATAATAAACTTTTTTTTTTGTAATATAAATGAAAAAAATTTTTATATATACATATATAATCTTTGAGTTATATTCTATCTATAGACATAAAAAATAGTACAATTTTTCTAACAAATGTATATAGTCGATTAGCGGTTAGTTTTTGTGACATTTTTTCCCCGCCGGTCAATAGAAGAATCAACAAATATAATTAATGTCATTATGGTTAAATCAATACCGCAACAAGTTTACAAATGAGGAAGCAAAGTGAGCCATCGAGATTTTCCGAATTCGCAGAAAAACATACTCGAAAAATTATTTTTTCAAATTTCAAAAAAAAAATTTATACGCGTGTGCATAAAAATGAAATGAGAAAAAATTAATTTTAATTATTAGCCATCAATCCTTTTCCACACATAATTTCTTTTATCACTTTGCTTTAGAGTTGCATGATATTCCACAACATCACCTTCTTGTTTAAAATACCTCCAAGCAATATTCCTTTTTTTAATTCCTCCTCATAAATCATTTATTTTTCATGAGTTTGAGAATTAACAGTATTTAAAACATTCAAAGATGATGGATGTTTTCAGGCTTAGAGTAGGACTACTACATACAAATATAATAATCATGATTATCATAATATATTAATTTCTGATTGCATAATTTTTTGATAGGTGAAAAATGAAAAACAATTTTTATTAATTGAAACCAAATTTTCTAATATTTTTTTTTACAAGGTATTTTTTTATTAAATCAATTCTTTCAAGCCATTTGGTTCAAGAGATTTAACCTTTTGTACTCATCAATAACATGTCTATCTACCTTTATGCAATCAAAATCAAAAGATAATATATCCAGTGAATCCCACGAAGGTGTCCTACTCATCACCACACTGTGGCGAACATATTTTCATCAATGGATACAGTTGAGTGTGGTAGTGTAAGGCCTTGTGTCTTGTGAACAGTGAGT